CTCCCATGTGAGGTTGTACTAGATATCAAGGGCTCGGAGTCACCTTGCCTAACCTTCAGCTACCTAAAATTTATGCAGTTCACATGAATTAGGCATCCTCTCTAGACAAATGCCAAGAACAGGCACCTTCAGAACAACTCAGCCCATCCTAAAATATCTGTCTACAACTAGTGGGCTAAATTACACTTTGGTTGTTCCTGTCTCTATACATTGACAATCAAGAAAGCAGGAGGACTTAACACCTCATTTTAGTCTGTCTAAAATTAAACTAAATTAATCCTACCCCACTTCTTTCCTCTTGGGATTATCATGTTTCCCCCTGTAGACTCATTTTACAGATTAGCAACGAACCAAGGAAAGCCTCCTCACTTCTGGCAGCCTGTGCAGAGTGCTACTATGGTCAAACAGGACTGTTTGTGCACATGGAGAATAAATATCTTATCTCCTTGTTTCCTTTGCAGTTTCCTGAAATAGGTTTGGGCCATTTTCAGAATGCACTGCAGGATCACATAACACATAGGGGTTAGATCAGTCCTGTGAAGATTTATGACACGTGATTTTTGAAGTATTCTTATATTATTTGAGAAAGCAGTGGAAGGAGGCAGAGGTTGCTTTAAAAAGCACAAGGCCATTTCAGACAATAAATCTGAATGCTAGAAAACCTGGCACTGTTCTATCCCTGTGGGCTGACCTTGTGCACCGGTCCAGGCTCCATGCTGGTTTTGTTGTGAAATGCAGCAACAAGTTCAGGGGTGTTGGTGAGATCAAGAATCAATCCTGGCAAACTCCAAGGAGCCCATGAAAGAAATACAGATTGACTGTCGCCCCTTAAGGAATTCCATGCTTTTCACAGGCAATTCAGTGCATACTCATAGACTAAATGGCCTGTTTATTTTTCATCTGCAGGTGCAGAAGAGTTTATGCAGATTTACATGTTAGTTTTATCTTCAGACTTGTTCCCATGCAGCTGTGCAGAGCCATGGGCCTCCTTAGTTTTCTTTTCAGCAGAAGGATACTCAGCTTTCATTGGGACAAGCAAGGGAGAGATTTGCTGTGTCATTTTTAACTCCCCCCACTGGATGGATCTAAATCCCTCTCTATACTGAAGTCTCTAAGCTCAGCAGAAAGACAGCAGGATTTCAAAGAAGACACTTGATTTGTTTGTTTGTTTATCAAGAACTATGTCCTCCAGACATTCAATTTCTGCTGAGCACTGACTGCTTCAGGTTCCTTCCTGCCAAAGGTCACAAATGTCCAATGCAACATCTCACCTAAGCAGCAGGCATAGAGGCAGTTTGACCAGCACATGATTTCCCCCTTTAAAATCACTCTAGCTATTGTTGGACACATAGCTTCCTAACAAAACACTGTGGAACTGCTCCTGCAAAAAGGCCATGTGCAGCAGAATAACCCAATGAAAACAGACAGGACAGGTTCAGGCATCTTATTTACAGATTGACACGACGGTGTCTATTGACAGTAGAGTGGCTGCTGCTCCGTTCAAACACTTGCCTTGCCTTCAAACACTTGCTCCTCCCCATGCCAGCAGACACATCAAAGCTTTTTCTATTCGTAGCAGGGACACTGCTGCAGACTCCTAGGTCCAAGGAGGAATGCTTAATGCTGTCCCAGAGACCTCTGACACTGCAGCTCACTGACTGACAATGGCCTCATCATTAGTTGGGCAAGAGGCTAGTGTTAAGGTCAGTAAAGAGTAGCAATTCATTTTAGGGACTACCATTATTCCAGATCACCCTTGGACCCTGTTCATGGTTGTATGTTAAACAGGAAGCGCTCAACTCATGGAACTGAGAAGGAGAGAAGGGAGTAATATTGGACAGAATAGCATGACATCAAAGAGAAGCTGATAAAGCTACAGCAGCATGTGGACATTGAGTAGTTTTGTGAAGTGGGGTACACTTCTTGCTGAGCTGGAAAGTGACAAAACTGGACACACAAGAACAACACAGAGGGCTGTAAGGCTGATGAGGCCAAGAACAGCCATCAGAAAAAGGAAAAAGAAAAAACAAAGTAGCAGCATTCATAGAATCATAGAACTTCAGGGATTGGAATGGACCTTAGAGATCATCTAGTCCCAATGCCCTGCCATGGGCAGGGACACCTCCCACCAGAACAGGTTGCTCAAGCCTTCATCCAACCTGGCTGTGAACACTACCAGGGTTGGGGCAGCCACAGCCTCCCTGGGCAACCTGTGCCAGTGTCTCACCACCCTCACAGGAAAAAAACCTTTCTTTCTACTATCTAACCTAAATTTCCTCTCTTTCAATTTGTACCCATTGCCCCTTGTCCTGTCACTGCAGCTCCTAACAAAGAGTTCCTCTCCAGCTTCTCTGTAGCATTGTCTCATTGTTACCAACATAACCAGTTGCTTTTTTTTCTTACAAACACAAGTTAATAAACAAGTATATATTTCCGTTTGAATCTTTAAAGAAAAGCTCTAAGATTAAGGAAATCAGGAAGCCTAACACCTCATGCCCTCTTACTCAAAGTGCAAGCATTCCACTCTCATAGAAAAGCCATGCCAGGACCAGATTTGGCTCCGTGCATGGTTTTGCGACAGCTTATGAAACAGGCTTTGCGTCTCCTCCTCCCTGCCCTCCTGCTTAGCTATAAACTGCCTTATAAAGAGAGTTACTGTTATGAGGCAGGCAAGTGACTGTTTTTTTCTAAACCTTTACTTTGTCTAATATGTTTCAGATTTCTGCAGTCCCTGCCAAGCTTTTCCATTCCCTTTCTTTTTTCCTTTTCTTTTTTTATTTTTTTTTTTTGCCTAAAGACATAAACCAGTCTTATGACTGGAATGGCACTGCCAAGAAAAACAATCTAAGGCTGATTTTTAGCATTACATAACAAGGGGGCAGTTTAGGGGAAAAAAAAACCAAGTCCAAAGTAGCAGGTTGAGTGCAGTTTGTGCAGCAAAGAATTAGAGCTGTGAAGAAAGGAACTACAGAATCACAGAATAATCAGAGGTGGAAGGGGCCCTTGAGGATCATCTAGTCCAGCTCCTGGCCCTGCACAGGACATATCCAATAATCACAGCCTGTGCCTGAGAGCATTGTCAAAATGCTTCTTAAGCTCTGTCAGGCTTGGGACTGTGACCACTGCCCCAGGAAGCTGTTTCAGTGCCCAGACACTCTCTAGGGGAAGAACCTTTTCCTAATATCCAGCCTAAACCTCCCCTGACACAACTTCAGGCCATTCCCTCTGGTCCTGGAACTAAAGAAATCAAGCAACTGGTGTTGGAGATCTACCTCATTTCATCTGAGTCAATACTTCACAGCTTTTCTGAATTGATTACATTTAAAAGCTACAGTGTTCTGTTTAGCTTTATATAAAGACTTCACTATATGATTTTCATTTGTTCTGTACATGGGGAAAAAATGCCATCATCCTAAGTGATGGTCACAAAGAATGCAAGGAAAGAAGAGAAATAAGAACACTCTCCCAAGGCTGGCAGAGCCCCTACCATCATTCCCTTCTTGGATTTAATGAAAGTGCTGTATGGAAAAGCTTACAATTCCACAGTCTAATACTGTGCATGTTCAACACAAAACAGGACTCCAGTATCTATAGAAGACCATCTAGCATCTTGTACTACCAGAAATTTTGAAAATAAAGGAAGCATTCAGGGATTCAGCATTGTATGTCGGGAATGATCTCTTCCTGCTCCTTTCCCCTCTTCAGGCAAACTTCTACCAATTGCTGGTTTCCTTCCATTCTGACTGGCCCATACAAAAAGTTGAGGTGCTGATAAGTATGCAAACCCTGCTTGTTATTAAATGTTAATCAGAATGATTATTATATCTACAAGCCTCTGTGAAACGGCTGCAAACATACCTTCATCTGCTTGACTGTGTATCGCATCGTTCCAAATGGTCCATCTTTCATGAGCTTCTTCCCCACAACTTTAGCTCGGATCACTGTCAAAAGAGAGGAAAAATACAACAAATTATAAACAGCTTTACACAACATTTACACTAGACCCTCCACTTCAAAAAAAACACCCAGTTAGACATGTTATTCTGTAAAATAAAACAAAACTCCAGGCCAACCTTCCTCTCCATTTATTCTAGATCTCACACACAGAAAAGGCATGTAAAATGGGATGCCAAAGCAAGGATTTATTGAGTGGAAATTCAGTTCTGTGTGAAGAATAAGAACAACCATTATTCATGGTTAAATCTCACTGAGATCTGCAAAGCTGACTATAGCTGGGACCAAGAGAGATTAAAATATTTGCCCCCAGCCACTAGGATGAAGTTTGTATTTAATGTCTTAACCCTGAACATATAGGATGATGTTCAACAAGATATGACTTCTAAATCATTGTTTGGGTGCCCAAAGCAAATTCTGTATCTCAATAACCACAATACAGTACAGTGCATCGGAATATCCCATATCTGGGAATTTCACTACAGCTGCCACCTTTCAGATACCACAAAACTCCTAACAAATGATGTGCAAAAACAATTTATTAGGTTTATTGGAGCAACTCCCCTATGAGGACAGGCTGTGGGAGTTGGGACTGCTCAGCCTGGAGAAGAGAAGACTGTGTGGAGACCTCAGAGCAACTTTTCAATATCTGAAGGGCCTACAAGGGACCTGGAGAGGGACTCTGTGTTAGGAACTGCAATGATAGGACAAGGGGTAATGAGATCAAACTGAAGGAGGGAAAGTCTAGGTTAGATGTGAGAAAAAGGTTTTTTACTCTGAGGGTGGTGAGACACTGGCACAGGTTGCCCAGGGACGTGGTGGCTGCCCTGACCCTGGTGGTGTTCAAGGCCAGGTTGGATGAGGCCTTGAGCAACCTGATCTAGTGAGGAGGTGTCCCTGCCCAGGGCAGGGGGTTGGGACTAGATGATCTGTAAGGTCCATTCCAACCCTTAAATTCTATGATTCTATGATTAACCATCAAGTCCACAGTGAAAGCTGCCAGGCCAGCCAGAAGTCACCTGGAAGACAAAACACTGCACTTCATTTCTTCAAGGACACTAAGGGACAGTGCTTGTTGTGTGCACACAGTATTCAGCCTGACACAGATTTGTACCACAGATGCACCACAGCAAGTCAGCTGTGCCCAAGCCATCATAGATAAGGATTTTGAGGTCTTTCAGATGAATCTAATGGATAGTTTAGAGTCAGTGCTTAATGAAGAGTTCTCCTGATCATCTCTTTTTGGGGCATTCCACATACACACACATACAAAAATACTGTTCCATCGATCCTCTTTGAAAAAGTTCTGCAACCACCTGCTCATTCAGTAGAGGAGCAAAGCTTAGGGATAGGGCAGGCATTATTCATTTTAATCCATCACAGAAAACCATCGAAAAGCAGGAAGGCATAGAAGGGAGACAAAGAGCTGGAGGTACTCCTTTGTAAGCAGGAAAACCCAATGAGTTATTTGGATTGAGGCACTATCTAAAACCAGCAACAAAGTTCAGGGATACATTTTTCTAGATATACAGGACATTAAATAAGCAACTTGTTGCTTCTTAGCTTGTTTAGGTTCAAACGGCTGTAGAAGCCCACTGGAAGAAATGGGAAAAAGAGGCTAAGCTTTTGTTCACTACCCAGACCAAATTAATCAGGCAAAAAGCTTGTCCCAGATTTCACCTGAAGAACAGATTTAAAGGCAGAGTAGGTCTGGTTATACACACCAGTTCCTGGACCTTGTTCCACGAGGGTGGTGTGAAATGAAGATAAACTCACTCTGCTCTGATTTATATCCTGTGCTTCAGCTGGACTTGTCAAAGAAATTTTAAACTAAGTAAGACAGTCCTGCTGGCTTTGATTCAAAGGGCTAACAAAACTTTCATTCACTGAGTGCAAAACTTAAATTTTTTTTTCAAACTTCTATTATCCAATGGCAGTAAAGCCAGTACAATGTTATTGATTCTTCGATATAACAAGTTGTATAGAATTCAATTTTCTCTCCTCTTCAATATTTAGTAGCTATATTGACCTAGGTGCTTGAGGACTGCGAATATCTTTAAACAACTAGCTTCCTCCACTAGTTGCTCCCAACCACCACAACCACCAGTGAGGCTGCAGAAACCAAACTGCCTAAGGCTCAATGAGCAAGAATACAATTCCTTTAAGGCTTTGTGAATTCCAGGGCAGCTCAGTAATGCTGAGTCATAGCAGAGAGTGTTATCTTCATTTATTGCATATCTAATATATTGAAATTGAAAAACCTAATGTTTGCCCAACTATCTGAAACCAACAAAGAAATTTTATATCTTACTGGCAGTGATAAGAAACATACTAAGAGGCAGTATTACCAACTGCTAGAGTTTCCAAACCAGAACACAGCCCATAAGATAACAGGTATATTCTCAATTGCTGACAAAATACTTAAACCCCCATTTTCTTCATACTTTACTGCTATCTTAGCAGTCCTTTAACTTCTAGTTAGAGCAGCATGGCCACTTCAGACAGAAACTTTGATTTATGGACTCATCAACAGCATCACCAAAGGACCAAAGACTCTGAATGCACATCTACACTAGCCTGTAGCATCATCCCAATTTCAACTCATTGTATCCTTGCAAGCAAGTGAGAAGGACTGAATTTTCCTATTATTGTTCCCCAGTAAAATTAGAGAACCACAACCATCCTAGCAAATTCACCTAGGAAAGCCATGTTAAACCTTAGTGTAGTGCCACTTCAAGCCTTCTGTAAATGGATCAAGCCCTCTGTTTCTCAGAGAAGTTGATTTATCACCTCAATGGTAACTTTTCTACTAAAGTTCTTTTCTTTACAGGAAAGCTAGAAATGAACAAAGAACACACCCTGCCTCATTTTCCCCATGTTAAAGGAAAAGTCAAGCTGTTAGCCAAGGAGCTGAGAACACTCCAAATATTTCCTATATTTTGTGAGGTTAAATCCCCACCCCCTGAGGATTAGATGTGTCTGGGATAACTGGAGAGAAATGCTGGATGGACAGGGCTGCTCAGAGGTTGCTCTTGCATGTCGAGCTTTCTAAGACTCCATGCATGACAGCCAGTAGTATATCTGTCCAGAACAGAGCTCCAAGCTGCAGATCTTCAGCCACTTGTTTCCCAGTCGCTATCTCTGCACCTTCAAACCAGCACTCACCAGTTAGACAGCTAGACCACTCTTGCCACCTGGTCAAAGAAAAAACACCGCTCCTAAATGAGTACAGGCCATGCATACTTGCCAGAGGGACTTTTCACCCTCTGCAAATTATCAGGTATTTACAGTACTTCTGTTGTAAAGTCAGTCCATGTTACATTAACAAAGTCAACTGTTTAATTCCGTGGACTCCTACTACTTGAGCAGAACGAGGCAAAAGGTGATGTGACTGCTCTCCTGAACTCCTCCCTTCTCCCTGAAGCTCTATTACAGTCCTGCTATTACTGATGGGAAACTTTATCCCACACAAGTGGTCACCAAAATAGCTGCATATTTTTAAACCACAATTCCTTTGAAGTATTGCCTATGAAAATACTCCAAGATGAATGTTTCTCAGTACTTTGGGGTTTCAGGTCAGGTCACTTTGTGGGACTGAAGCAGTTGGCAAGGTCTCATGAGTGATTTGCAATTATTTATGAAAAGCTAAATTAGATGAAGATATAAGTCTTGATAAGCATGGCAGCCATGCCATGATACCAAGAGGAGAAAACATACAGATTGCTTCTCAACATTTGACATGATGGAAAAAATGAAGGAGAAAACAGAGAAAGAAAAGCAGATATTTACTTGGCATTCTAAAAAGAAAATACTGCTACAAAAATAATAACCTGCTTTGTTTGAGGATTCAAGAAATGTATCCAAAAATGTACCACAAGCTATTAATTTATTTATCCCTTTTTTCCTTGCCTTTTGTGGTTTTTGTTTGGTGAGACAGCAGAAGGCATTCTTTTCTTGAGACAAGGTGTAGACAAAAAGGCAATCCCAAAGTGAAGGAAGTGGTCAAGTATTTGCCAAGCTGAGGAAACAACATGGTGACAAGGCTTGCAGCTACCGAGTAATTTCATCCAGGCACACACAGACTGCTACATGTGTGGTAGGTCTTTTTCCCAACTGAAAAACAAAGACATCAACTGTCCTGGTTCAATCCAGTCCATGTCCTTTATCGGGGCCAGCCGCTAGATGGTGAACCTGTAATGAATCTCACCATCCCCTGACAAAAGGGCAGCGGTACAGGCACAGGCTAACACCACAAATCCCAGTTGCTTGCTCAACTGCACCATGAGAACCAGATGCTTTCGCACAAGTGGGCTGGTTGTCATCCCTAAACAGCATTTTAAGTGGAGGCACACCCTTCGGAGACCAGGATTTGCTCCAAACCCATTTCCCTTGTGACCAATTACCATGAATGGCTCAGGAGAGTAACAACTGCTACACTTCTTATTATTGTTTCAAGGATTTATTTTATTGGTGTGCAATATGAATATTAAGTGATAGCTTTGGCTGAGATGCATGCTCACTGCATTTAAGTGAAGGATGTGAAGGACTCATGTTGTTTACACAGGGGACAAGTTATTCTCCCAGTCCATTCTCTGACATTCAAATAGTGGCAAAATAAAATATGTGGGGAATGGCAACATGACTGGGAGGCTGAAGAATGATTCCTTCTATCCTGAGGCCACTGACTACACCAGAAACTGGACAACACTTAGAAATGCTGCTTTGACACCAGACATGGGACATGCCAAGGAGGATAGTTGCCATTTGACTCATCCAAAGGCTATACAAGGGCTCACTTCCAAGAGCAATTTACTGAGAACTTTTTACCAGCTTTACTAGCAGCTCTCTCATTCAGCCTGCCTCACAAAAACTCCTTACTGTGCTGGTACATGCTGGAGGGCTCATATCATGCAGGGCTAAGGCAGCTGGCATGTTTTAGACTCCTGAGTATACCTAGCATACTACTGAGGTATTAGTGGCATTTATG